AAAATGCAGCGGCCGAACAAAAGCAACCCATGGTGGAAGCTTAGTCGTGGAGAACAAAGCCTTATCACACAGATGAGAACTGGGCACTGCGCGACGCGCAGTTATCTCCACCGACTCGACAACAGAAGGGAACCTTTGTGCCGACAGTGTGGACTCGAAGAGGAGACAGTAGCCCACTTGGTGATCACGTGCCCGAACAGTGGGATGGGGGCCGACGGTAGGAATCCGGAAGCTTGCCTAAATGATCGCCTTTACGGTAGCGCCCAGCAGATGAGGCGTGGCGTGGAAATCGTGTCCAGGGTCCTAAGAGATTGAATCTCGACCCTTTTGAGTATTGAACTTTATTAGTGATTAGAAAATGTGTTTGGTTAAAAAAACGGGACATTTGGGCGTCCCGAGAGACTCTTTCGGGACAACGGGTACGATCGTGAAAAAACGGGACAATTCCTTTTTTACGGGACGTTTGGTCATCCTATGTTAGACAGAACTGGCTTAAGCAGGGTGTCAACATGCAGGGTTCCATTAGAGCAAGTCCCAACAAGTGGGTGCCACAAGGGCAGGTATAGGCCTTATAGACTCGTGGAAGTGGGGCCGGGTGGTACCATGAGTTTAAGTTTAACGCGCTGGGAGACACCAATCCTAGGAACGCCAGTGCTAATTTGGAGCTTGTTTTTTTTTTTATGCAAACCGTCAGTGCCAAGTGAACTTGAGCCAAAGAAAACAACTGTAGAAACACAATGGTAGGTAGGCATGTTCTTATTTATACCGGTACTAACTTTATAGTAACTTTCAAATGGACGAATTAATGTGTCTAGACTTACTATAGCCCGCCAAACAATGGCGGCGGCAATGGGTGAACTTCCTTTCTACTAAAGTTACTTGAAAAAACATTCATTCAACTAACGTACTTTATTAAGGATCCAAATTAGTGATGACTGTGGGATTGCATCCAAAACTTATCTCTGGTTATCGAAACTATACAGAGCCGAAATTAAACGGGAACATACTGTTTAAAGGGGGTTGTTAATCTCACAAAGTTGGAGTGTACATTTATGTATATATGACTATGAGTATGAGTAGTGAAATTTCCAAACCGAAGCAAAATATTTTAGTCCTTTTAACAAAAGTGCAGCCGTGTGTAGCCCTTTAGTAGCCACTTTTCATCATAACAAATACCGATAGTTGCTACTTTATTTAAAAAAGATAATAAATAACGTTTAATTGTCATTAAAAAAAAGAAAGGTACAAACAATAAATTAAAAAATACACATCTGTATATACAGTTAAAAAGGTCTTATTAATATTAAAAAAAAAAAAATGTGTTTAATTTTGTTGTTGTTGAAATCTACAACAAGTCCACAAAACATTTTCCATTTCATACCCCTCTATTACGCAATGTTGCCATTTGGCAACAAAGCGAAATTACACTACTGCTAGTACTGCAAGCCCAATTTTTAATTTGTTGGAGTGGTTCCCCTTTTCAATTATGAGGTTTCAAACTTTTATCCTGAAGAACTCTTCACTTTCGCTTTGCAGTTTTTATGTAAGAACACATTTTAGACGGTCACAGTTGACTACAATTTTTTCCGCCGAATCCAGTAAGTACAAGCTGTTTTTTTATATCACATAATGATAATTCCTGTTATAAAAAATAAAGAATGTTAAATTTAATGTTTGAACTGATATTAAATGAGCTTATGTTTGATATTTGTCATCATAGGTGGATGACATACGAAAAAAATGGTATGTTGCCAATTGGCAACANGGGTCAAAAGATGGGACAAAAGGCTAAAAGGGAAATCTAGGTAACTTGTCCATCGGTAATCATGGTTTACAATAAATTCATGGGTGGTGTGGATCTTCTCGCTTCACTGTTGGCCGTATACAGGATACCAGTAAGGTCCAAAAAATAGTATCACTGTATAATATTCCACTTTCTGGATACCAGTATGGCAGTTGTGCTGGCATGGCTGATCTATAGGCTGATTGTACTAATGCGAATCGCGACAAAAAATATCCTCGGTGTACTTGATTTCAACACCAAGATGGCCATATGCCTAATGAAAGAAGGTAAAGCAGGGTTTAGGAAACTTGGCAGTCCTTTATTGGATATAGAGCCTCAACTTACAGCTAAAAATTTGAGTGGTCCTATTGCAGCTTTTCCACCCTTACCAGTAAGAGCTGATTATATTTGGCACTTTCCTGAGCCACTTGAAAACAAAGGAAGATGCAAGAGACCAGGTTGAAAAGAATTTTCAAGAATAAAATGTGCATAATGTAAAGTTGACATTGCTTCAAACAGTTCCACCAGCATTAAACCTGCATTTCACATATGTATATAAATATTTACTGTCCCTCTATATGCTCTATATATTGATTACATGATTTTCTATATTTTTGTGTAAAAAATGCTTATAAAATATGATTTTTATAATGATCTTTTTCATGATATAAAAGCATAATATGAAGATATGCTTGTAAACTAAGTACTGAGAACCATTGTTTGTGTAAACGATTAAATATTCACCTTTTACAAATATTATTGTTATCGTTTCCTTTTCTTGTTCAGTTTTACTTTTCTGACCTTTAAGACGCACTGTTGCCATATGGCAACATACCAATAAAATCATTATTTCATTTTAAAAAATTATTTTTCTTGCATATTATGTTTATTTAAGTCCAATAACTATGAAGTATGCCATCAAAAAAATTTTTTCCATAAAAAACTAAAATTGCGTAATAGAGGGTTAACATCATTGTCTAACTCAAGGACTTGCTGATAAAAATGGGTAGACAAGTTATATTCATTTATGAAAAAAAAAACGATCCATATGATCCACACTACACTGATGACATTTATTTACAAGCCAGTACAAGTAACAGAGCAATGGTTTATACTCAGGTCACATGTGGCAAAGCCAAATTGTTATGTCATGATCTACCAACAATTGGTTAAAAAAGAGAGACCCAGCATATGGGCCAAAACTTGATATAGAAACAAACTGGCCAACATTTCAGAAAGAAAAAAATGACCACCCTTTTGTAAAAAAAGAATGAAAAACATTTTTTGTAGTTTATAGTATAGGTAAAAAAAAAAAAAAAACACACATCTGGTATACAATGAGCAACAATACAAACACTTTGGTGACAAGCTAATAAATCAGAAAACTTTGTACAACAAACTCATCATTTATTATATCATAAAATCAATGGTGAGATTAAAAAAAATTACATTTCAAATTCCAAGTGGCTATTGGCACCCGGTATCAGCAATGAGAGGTTGGGATTAACAAACTATTTAAAATTTTATTGTTGGGTTTGTAAGACAAAATGAGGTATCAAATGAAAGATAATTGAATGGACTATATGTTTGTAAACTTATTTCTTCAGTTTAACTAAAAATAAACTACCACAAATGACATCCGAATGGGATTTAGTCTAAAGGGACCCAGGTCCGAATAGCGGCTATGTGGTTCTCAACCTTCCTAATGTCGCGACCCTTTATTACAGTTCCTCATGTTGCGGCGGCCCCCAACCAAAATATTATTTTCGTTGCTACTTCAAAACTGTATAGTATATGTGTTTTTCGATGGTTTTAAGCGACCCCTGGGAAAGGGTCGTGCGTCCCCCAAAGGGGTCGCGACCCACAGGTTGAGAACCTCTGCTTTAGACTAAATGCTATTATTTTTATGGTACCGGTATTCCATTATGTGAGATGACCTAAAAAAAAAAAAAATTGAACAAAAAAAACTGAATGATTTGAAAACTATTCTAAATTCTTGCAGCATACTTACTCCCAGCACTAAACCACTTTTTCTAATCATGTTATTAATGAAAAATATAGTTTTTAAAAACTATATTTGGCTATTTGAGCCCCAAACAGGATGTTTTATGCAACCCATGAGGATGCTAGATTTGGAAACCCTGATCTGTCATATCTATCAGACAGTTGCACTATTTGATCATTAATCAACACATGCAGTCTTTGATCTGAATCAAAAGAGGTATTCTGGGACATGAATTTATTCTGGTAGTCTATGAAGTGAGGCCGTAGAGGTGAGCTTGAACAAATATGACGAATAGCTGGTTTCAGAAAGATAGAAAACAAATATTGAATTATAATTTCAAATTTCTAAATGTTAAACTTTTGTCAATCTGGGTACCGGTACCGATAGGTTAAATTTTTTTTTTTAACAACTCTATCTTTTAAATAACTAAACACAGCATAATGAAAATCATGGACAAGGCATAATGAAAGTCATGGACACTGCATAATGACTCATGGACAGACATAATGAAACTCATGGTCAAAAATTAAATTTAAACAAGTACAAGGGTCAAATTGAGGTCTAGAAATGTTACAGGGCAGAGGGAAAAAAATTAGTTGGGTCCTATCATGATCCTGAAATTTATGCTATCAAATATAGTGCAACTACCTTAATGGTGTGCAACTCCCTTATAATGGTGTGCAGCTACCATAATATCTGCTTGACTTCCCACAAACTATGAGTTGTGAGTCAGTCAGATGTTTTCATTTTATTATATAGCTGGGACAAGTCCAATCCTGTTATTAATACTTTTTCTAACAGCTGTAAAATATATGAATCTAATTCATGAAAGTCACTGTCTTACAAGAAAATCTTTGTAATAATAACTCTAGCTAATTAATTAAATACTCAAAATTAAAAAAATTGTGAACAGATTTTTTTTTGTCAGAGATACTGGCCTAGGAAGAGGTGGCACTTGTTTTTTTTTTATTGAGGGGGATACAATTTTTTGGCCAAAAGCCTAGTTTTCTTCACGGGAAAAGGGGGGGGGGGGTGTTTGGAAAAACAAAAAAAATATACGCCCGCCCTGGACGGCACTTGAAATCGTTACACCCCTTTTTTTTTTGTCAGAGATAATGGCCTTGGAAGAGGTGGCACTTGTTTTTTTTTTATTGAGGGGGATACAATTTTTTGGCCAAAAGCCTAGTTTTCTTCACGGGAAAAGGGGGGGGGTGTTTGGAAAAACAGAAAAAATATACGCCCGCCCTGGACGGCACTTGCAATCGTTACACCCCTGTATATAGAGCAGAACATTAGAATTAGAAAACCAATAGAATTATAAAACAGAGTTACTGAATATCAATATTTTTTAAAGGAAACATTTTGTGAATGAAGAACTCAAAATAAATCTTTCCCCATTTATTATTTCACACACTTGTCAACAATCATAAAATTAACTGTTATATTAATAAAAATGTCAAAGGAATTGAATGACGCACACAAACAAGACTCTTGGCGCTGGACATAAAAATACTTTAAAGTGTTGAGAAAACAAAAACTGGCAAAAAATCCCATAGCATGAAAAAGTTTTAAATTGTACATGTCTTTTTATAAATATAAGTATAGAAAGATCACACATAATCTGATGCATTTTTCAAAACAATATTTTTAACTCAGGGCAGGGCAAAAATAAGGAGTTCACTTAGCCTGTTTTTTAAAATATCAAATAGCTGTTTTAAAAGCAGTGTTTTGAATGAAGAAAGCAATGTAACCATGTGATTAAAACATGCTTTGATGGAGATGTTGGCTTCTGTTAAACATCATCAAGTAGGTGGAATTGAAGGTTAACAAACAATAATAGCAAAATTATATCCCATGATAACCACTAACTTAAAGTCTTATATTAACAATAGTTATACAAATCAATGAACTAGACATTAGTAGCAGGTCAAGTGTGGATGACTGCCTGACAAAATCACTCGCTTAAAAATGAAACATAAAAGGTTGTGATCCTGCTAGTGATCATAAGTGCTTCTCTATCAGTTGTTGAGACATTGTAATTTTATTAGGTCACAAAAAACATGCTTCCTACTCAGTTAATGGAACAAGACTTCATTCAGACCAAATATTCAAAGGCACAAAGTGTTAAAATCTAAAATTTTTACGCTCTTTGTTTTTAAAAAAAAATAAAAATTAATAAAATTTGCTAAACACCATAAGTGTTAAAATTTCTCATTACAAAACTAAGCAAGCAACGTCTCTAAATATTGTATCTGAAGAATACATAAACAATCTTTGTCTTGATTTAATGGACTGTAACTTAGATGTTAATGGTTAGTGTATTTGATCCCATGTTTCAATAAATACTTCACTAGCTTAATAATCAATAATCCACACTTAAGGCAATCACTAGCTAGCTGTAGATGGTTAGCCTTCCTTAGTTTATCAGCTAGATGGAGATGTTCAGCCATCCCTAGTTTATCAGCTAGCTGGAGATAGCTAGCCAGAGAATATCCCTTTTTACCAATCATCATCAGCTGGTAAACTAAAAATACTACATTTAAATTTGTGGACATAATTTATAATTAATAAAGTCAATTTTTGTTCAGGAAATTCAGCTGATAATAACAAGATTTGCTGATATTTCTAACTGAAACACAATTTTATCATCTTTGATGGTCATGATCAACATTACTAAGACTTGTATTTCAGTATTAAACAGAAATTCTACTGGTATTGCTACAAATAAGATAACAAAATAAGTAAGTCATACAACGGCATGGTCAACCAGGAATTCAACATTTCTCATCTCAATTTGGAATTTGATTTACATAATTTGTCTAAAGTTGTAAGATTCATTTTTAAAATTTTTTGTAAAAGTTAATTTCTCAAGGCTGAATGAAAATCATTTTATTACTCCTTCATATTTAACATAATAAATGAAGGACTGCGATGTGATTCAAGCTTCATATACCTGTCTACTATTTCATCTTACAATGAGAAAAGTTGTGAGGTTTAAATGTGAACACCTGGATGTTATTTTTATATAGACTATGAATAAAGGCATTTGTTCATTACTAAAAATTAAATTCTCCTAAAAATGAAGTAATCTCACCAGCGGCCTTGCCAGTAAGGTGGGTAATAATCTTCTTTCACTGTTAAGTTTCCAATTTTTGTGTTGGGCTGGGGATAGCCAGCATAATATATCACCTCCCCTCTGACCAGGTACCCTGCCCACCATGAATATGACCCTGATGTGATTATCATGTGATCACAGCTAATCATTATGGCCAGGTCAAGGGAGCCGTCGGTTTCATGAGAATAGTGAACATCGGAGCCCTCATCTAAGTTTGTCTCTGCCCATATCAAATCATTAGTGCAAATTATGAACATAACTTTACCATATTTTTTACGAAAGTAGTTCATTGCCCTGTAATAGTAAGGAATTGGTGCAGCAGTGTAACCTTTCACCTTCTGCCGCACAAAATCCCCACGACGAACATGTATGGACACTAAAACTGCTCCTTCCAAATTCCTTTCTTCAAGAAGCTTTCTGATATACTCCTTCGCTGCAGACTTCAAGCTTTCATGAAGAACAAAATGCTTGGTTAAAAGTTCTTCACGCAGGTTATCAAAATACCTCCATGATTGGTAGTAGCCCTCCAGGTAAGCATCACAAGTCCTGTCGATATTTTCCACACCTTTGTAGTAAGTTGCAGCTTTCTCCTCAGGGTAAGACTTTGGCTCCCGCAACAGGTCCAGACCCCCTTGAAGGGTGGGCAGTTTGAATACGTCCAAGACATCAAGGTCCTCAGGAATAATAGGAGTCATGTTGTGCCGGCGGGCCATGCCCATCAACGTGGCATACTCAAACATATGATTACCTAGTCTGCCCTTGTAGGTTATCATGATCCTAGGCTTGCGGTGGTCAATTTTCAACTTATAGTCTAGCCATCGAACCACATGACGGTGCACAGGTACCTTAAATACAATTAAATGTATCAGTTGCTGCATGAATGCTTATGACATATTTTTAACATGAATGTTATGGTTATAGCAGCCATGATATTGGACTTAAAAGGAAATGGTAGGGTGCAATAAAGCATATGAACACTAAATACTTGGCCAAAGTACTCTACAGTCACATTCAAAAGATCAATATACCAATGCCATGTTTATTTAGATGATGGATTCAGGTGGAAAAAGAACTTAAAAACCATTCAATTTTTAACTTAACTTTTACTAAATTTTACACATTGAGTAAGTTTAAATCTTTAAAGGCTTTTTTAAAAATGTGGCTATATTGTGTCCTAAGTGTATGTAGACAAACAATTCTTATCCCATGCCATTTTTGCCCACTGTCAATGATCTTCTGTAGTTGATTTTTTTCTCCATATTTTTCCTTCTCAACAAGAGTTTCAGTAACACTCAATTAATTGATTTCATTGACCCTGAACATATTGGAACTTTCAAGCTCATTGTTATAGGGCTCAAATGAGTGTGCTACGAGGCTGCCAGAATTTATCAATTGCTTGTGATAATATAAATGACAATTAATACTTGACACAAAATTTTGGAAGATTTAATTTTTTATTTCAAGCATTCACCAATTTTTAAAAATTTTATAGTATAATAAAAATAGAATCCGCAGCCCAAGTTTATTCAAAATATTTAACATAATTTTCACTATGTACGTTCAGCCACTGGGTGCAGTGATCAAGCAATTTGACATGCTGTATCACATGTTCGCCGATGATACACAACTTCATCAATCCGTGATTCCCCTCTCAGTTCCCTCAACTTCTTAGTACGACACAGAAGACAGTGGAGGCAGTTAAGCACTGGATGACCATAAACAAGCTCAAATTGAATGATGAAAAGACTGAGCTGATCCCCATTGCCACTGCTCAGAAACAAAAATCTGTGAAAAACACAAAATCACTTACTCTCTCAGGTATGCAGATTGAGTTTGCTCATACAGTGCGAGACCTGGGTGTCTATTTAGACAGAACACTAACTATGGAAAATCGTATTAACATGCTTTGCAAGGCAATTTTCATAGAGCTGCGCAGGATTAGTCATATCAGACCTTTCTTAACGTTAGATGCAACAAAGAGGCTGATGTCTGCATTTGTGTTATAAGCATGGACTACTGCAATTCTCTCATGGTGGGTCTCCCAGCTACGCTCCTGGATAAAATTCAAAGAGCACAGAATAATGTGGCTTGCATTGTTCTTCGCAAACGCAAATTCGACCATGCTAAAACACTTCTGAGAGAGCTGCACTGGCTGCAGGTCCACGCTGGCATAGAGTACAAAATTGCAACTTTGTGCTACCGCTGCTTACATGACCTGGCGCCATCTTATCTCAAAGCACTCATGACGCCTTATGTACCCACTAGAGAGCTCCGCTCATCCGATAGTGGCAAAATATCGATACCTACAAAATTGCAACTTTGTGCTACCGCTGCTTACATGACCTGGCGCCATCTTATCTCAAAGCACTCATGACGCCTTATGTACCCACTAGAGAGCTCCGCTCATCCGATAGTGGCAAAATATCGATACCATGTGTTCGCCTTGAGACTTACTGAAAGCGCACTTTTGCATTTGCCGGCCCAACAATTTGGAACACCCTTTCCAGTCGCTCCCAGAAACAGCCAGACACTGGAGTCCTTTAAAACCGATTTAAAAACACATCTATTTCACAAACACCTTCTGGGGTGATGCTATCTACCATCTTTTTCAGTTAATGTATATTGGCTTGTGTTGCTTATGGTTGAAACCGGAAGAAAGTCTTTGACTTGGTATGGTTGTATGTAGTTTTATATTGTTGCGTCTGTTTTTTTAAATGTGGTAAATTTTAGATTGTTTTTATTTCTCTTTTAATATGGTTGACTTTGTACAGCGCTTCGAGCTTTTGGGGATGAAGCGTGGTTATTATAATATTATTATATATTATTATAATTAAATTGTTTAAATAGTTAATATTTATCTAATTATGATATTAAGATAAATATTTAAAAAAAAAACTATCTAACTCCTAAGTGTTCCTCAATATGTCAAGATTAAAAAAAGATACATTATGCATAAATATTTTAATACAAATTGAAAAAAATGTTACAATTTTCTAAAAAAGCCCTTTCATATTTTTATAGAGCTTTTTAACAGAAAATTTAAAACTCACCTTCTTGTTTAAATAAGCTGTGATGTAGGTCAGGTCATTAACATAGATTAGAAAAATGAAGAAAAAAAATGTTGCTGCCAATATGTAGCACTTTGGACCACGTCTCAGTCTCATTGCGCAGTTGTTACTACCTGATCTTCTGGAGATGTTCATATCATCATTTGAAGAAACACTCACTTGAATGCGGTTAAGTCTGGCAATGGAAAAAATTATATTACTATTGATGAATTGAATGAACATCAGTTATTGCAAACGGCTTGACGTCGCAGCAATCTTTCATCGAATTCGGAGTAACCCAGGGCTCAGTCCTAGGTCTGGTGCTTTTCACTATGTACGTTCAGCCCATGGGAGCAGTGATCAAGCAGTTTAACATGCTATATAACATGTTCGCGGATGACATCCAACTTCGGCAATCTGTGATCCCCTCTCAGTTCCCTCAGGTTATTAGTATGACACAGAAGACAATTGAGTCAGCTAAGCACTGGATGACTATAAACAAACTTAAACTCAATGATGAAACAAGCGAGCTGATCCCCATTGCTACCGCTCAAAAGCTAAAATATATAAATAACACACAAACCCTTACTCTCTTAGGTATACAGATTGAGTTTGCTAAAACAGTGCGAAACCTGGGTGTCTATTTAGACAGAACACTAAGGAAAATCAAATTAACATGCTTTGCAAGGCGATATTTCTAGAGCTGAGCAGAATTAGTCATATCAGACCTTTCTTAACGTTAGTTGCATCAAAGAAGCTGATGTCTGCATTCGCGCTATCACGCATGGACTACTGCAATGCTCTTATGGTGGGTCTTCCAGCTAGGCTCCTAGATAAAATTAAAAAAAGCACAGAATAATGCGGCTCGCATTGTTCTTCACAAACGCAAATTCGACCATGCTAAAACACTTCTGAGAGAGTTGCATTGGCTGCCGGTCCGCACTCGCATAGAGTACAAAATGGCAACACTGTGCTACTGCTGCATGCATGACCTAGCACCGTCCTATCTCAAAGAGCTGCTGATGCCTTATATACCCACTAGACAACTCTGCTCATCTGATAGTGGCAAACTCTCGATACCACGTGTTCGCCTTGAGACTAACAAGGGGCGTTCTTTCACATTTGCTGGCTCAACAATTTGGAACACCCTTCCTATTGCTCTCAGAAACAGCCAGTCATTGGAGTCTTTCAAAACTGATTTGACGACATATCTATTTCGCAAACACCTGCTGGGATGATGTTGTCTATCTAGCTATTATCTTGTGGATGTGTATTGGCCTGTGTTGTTATGGTTGTTAGGTATGAAAGACTTAGAATGGGTATTCTCGTATATAGTTTTTGCAATGTTGCATTTGGTATTTCAATGTGGTATATTATAGATTGTTTCATTTCTCTTTAAATACACTAGACTATGTACAGTGCTTTGAGCCTTTGGGGATGAAGCGTGATTTTCAAATAAACTTTATTATTATTATTATATTATTACAATTTAAAAAATTAAATGAACTTATACTTTTACAATTTCAAAAAAAATAATTTTAAAATGCAACTGTCTCTGAAAAATACAATGTTTAATATGTGAAGCAATGTTACAACCAGAAAACTTTGTTCAATTCAATTATGTTTTTATTAAACAATTTTACAGTCTACAATTGCTTTCTAAAATTACATCAAAGTAAAATGTTACATGAATGCCTAATAGTATCAATTTTCAAAGCATTCTGAGATCTCTGCACAGACCAAGTGTAGCTAGGGCAAAGATACTTGTAACACAAAATATAAAATTGGACTGAAAAATTACAAGTAGTAATTTGTTTTCATTTGGGTAACCTACATAAATTCCTGTTGAGATATGTCTAAATGCATTTTGAATACAATATTATCGATGATAGTTAATTTTGGGACACGTAACTAAAATTGCTGGGTAAATTTCTGACCATATCGCTGGGCCAAACCTAACATCTCTTGGATATGTTGCAATTATGGCATCCTTCCATCTACGTGAGACGATGGAGTAGCTATATAGTTCTACACTTTGACGAGTGGCTCACTAGGCCAATCCTTGAATGGCAATCGCGGCCGCATCTCTCGCAGTAGAATTTGAAGCCCGGTCAATTCTTGATTTTTGAATTGTTCTTTTTGATTCGAGGGCCTCTTTTCGAGAAACTTCTGCCTGTTTCACTCCTCCAAACACTGCTGTACGCCAGTTGGACCGATGTTCGGCAATGAACTCCCATTTGTTTGTTTCAATATTGGCTTCCCTCATGCTTCGTTTGCAAACGTCAATAAATCTCAGGCGCGGTCGTCCAATACGTCTTGTCCCCTCTGCCAACTCTCCATACAGCAGAATCTTTGGGATACGTCCTTCCTCCATTCTCCGTACATGACCTAACCAGCGATGTTGCAATTAATGCCATCATATCATAATTATATTATATCATATTCATATACAGAAGGGTACTGAACTCATAATATCCATTCTTCTGGGGCCCCATTTCATTTTTCCTTATATAAGCTATATAAATATCAATAGGCATTAGACAACACTATAGTTTCTATGTGAATGGATGGATATAGGCCTAGTGTTGTAGCAATAGCCTTCATTGACTGTATTGAAATATTGGTGGATTCAAAACTAATAATATCCATTGTAGAATTTTCCAGAAAGTTTGATAATTTTAAAAAAAAGCTATATCTATGGTACTTTTAAGTAGATTTTAATGGGATCGATTTTAAATTTTAACTCTATTTTTTATCCCTGTGATATTTGTAGGGCCCCCTATCTCACGCATAACTAAAACGGTACAGTTATGGAATGGGCCCCCCGGGCTACTTGATTAACTTAAAAGGATTGATTTTCATCGTATTCGAAAAATGATTAGAAAAGTAGTTCTTACTCATGTTTCGTGGATGTTATTAAATTTAATCTAAGTTGTTCCAGAAAGTTCTAAATCCTTCCAAGGGGATCTAAGTGGGATCTAAGGGAATATTGAAATGTTAGTTAGTTCTTTTCACTTCTATACGGTCCAATCGTTTACTGTTCTCTCAGTACCACTGAGTAATTTTTTTTATTCGTGATAGAAACCAAAGCGGTCAGGATTCCATTATAATCTTTATCTCAATGGCATCAGGATCCCACCAGGAAACGGGATCCCATCAGGTTCAGGATCTCAACTTTGAATATATCCACCATGATCGGGATCACACTGGGAAACGGGACTGCGCCGGGATCATGTCCCAATGGAATTGGGGTCCCACGAGGATGGGGTCCTAATGCAATCCCGGGCCATGCCGGGTACGGGTATATCGGCTAGTTATCTATAAAGTACCTTACAATGAAGCAATATAAATATGCTTTCCACAAAAAAGATATGACTGTAACTGGGTAAAATTAGCATCATTTTACTTTCAATTTTCAAAGTGAAGCCCCAAAATTCTTTTCGCAACTAAGTTACTAACGTGTCAATGTCAAATTAAAATGTCCACTCTAAGATGTGGGTGGAAGTAGAATGTGTATGCTGTGATATAAATGAATATAATTGGCAAAAAAAAAAATCATAAACAACATGACGCTCTGTAAATTAAAAAGTTGAGGTCACCAATTTACAACGAAATCACGATACCCGGTTTTCGGCATTTCCCAAATCTTACCAAAGTGCCTAGTTGTTGTTACTAGAGTTAACAATAATTTTTTTAAAATATTAAATTTAGTTTAGGTCCCATGTCACTTAAGTACTAAGTTAATTAGGAAAAGGATTTTTTTTTTTAAAACTCAGTGATCAGTGAAGTCAATGTTGAAGTGTTGGGATATTGATCACCGATAACATACTCATGATGATAATGATGTGACTACACTACACTACACTAAATCTGAAATAGCCATATTAAATTATTAAATATTAAACAACTTGACTTGATGTCTTATTTTTGTGAATTAATCATCACTGATCAAATCTTTCAAAAAGTACAAGACCAAGACTACCAACTACCAAGTCCACGCCAAAAGCTGAAAATAAAATAAATGAAAGTTATCTGAACTGAATGAAAGTTCAGAGCCAACTTTTCAAAATCAGAAAATCAAATGGCCAAATGAAAATGGTTACTGAAAAAGAAGCTATCTAAACTATCTTCTGTTATTATATTAAACAAAATATATCACCTGTCCATAAAATGAATGTATATCAATATGGCTCCTGATCTTCTTTAGTTGTCTATATGCAATATTTACTTCTTTTAATAAGTATTTTTGTTTTGTTCTTAGCTTAGGGATAAGTGATCACATTTTGGGGTACGCTCTTCAGTGTTGGCAACCTTATTTATAAACAGTTAGTTAAACTATCCTTTCTTCATTTTCAATATCGTCTAATGTAATCATTGTATATTTATATTATTATTCAATTGCAGTTGACCAGCAATATTATAAAAAAATGTAAACAGTAATTTTATAAATTAATAATTTATTCAACATTTGGTACGGTAATAAGAGTTCAGAATACGAAGAAGTGGCTGTCTATTGGGACCCGAGTTATTAATACTCGAGGCTTTTAATGGAATAATGGCTGGTGCTCCGGTTTTTCATAAAAGCATAAAACGATAGTTATAGTCCTAACTACTTACGTGTCTGGATTACAAACTTTTAAAATTTGATTGAGCTTGGTTTTGACTTTCGGCTTACCTAACTTTCAATTGATAAGTTTAAAAAAAAAAAAATCACTTTTATTTTCTCATGGCATGGAATGCTTCCTTTGTAACTTTGTTCTCTAACATATCCAAATAATGTTTGTTCGGGCTTAGGAACTTTGACTTTGGTCGTGGTTTTAGGCTAGGTGTAAATTTTGTCTCACGTGTAAATAGCCGTTTTTACGAAATACATGTAATTCTGAACTTCAAAGGGTCTATTTAAAAAAAAAAAAGGAGAAGGAAAAAAAAAGTAGAAGGAAAAACAAGGAGAAGGAAAAAAAAGGAGATTAAAAAGAACGAAGTTTTGACTTTGGTCGTGGTTTTAGGCTAGGTGTAAATTTTGTATCACGTGTAAATAGCCGTTTTTACGAAATAAATGTAATTCTGAACTTCAAAGGGTCTATTTAAAAAAAAAAAAGGAGAAGGAAAAAAAAAGTAGAAGGAAAAACAAGGAGAAGGAAAAAAAAGGAGATTAAAAAGAACGAAGTGGATGCGTAGACCGCGGCGGTGTACCTAGCGAAACCATCGGCTTTGACCTGCGTAGACCGCGGCGGTGTACCTAGCGAAACCATCGGCTTTGACCTTAAAAAGAAATATTGCAATAATTAATGAACAAAACTATGTCAGAAGCCAGGGAAAAGCAAACTCGTTTGTTTACACAAGTCACGCATGTAATATTTGATGTTGATGGATTGATATTAGGTATGGTGCTCGTTATTTATTATTATTATTATAAATATTTTTTAGGCCCACTACGATACTAAGTACTTAGTTTAGCTTAGGGTGACCAAATGGGCGACCAAACGCCCCGTTCCAATTTTTCACGATTGTACCTCCTACTCCTTGTTGCCAGACACCTGGCAGCGCTTATTCGTACACAGCTGAATACCATTTGGCTTGAGCGATGAAGCAACTGAGACCCTCAGTATAGATTGAAGATGCTCGTTAGTAAGTTTGGTCCTGAACTTTGACTTGTTAAAACTTTATTAAAAGATCTTTTCACACAGATAGGTACTCCCAAAAAAGCACATGATCGGCTTGAACAACCTGGAAATCTGAGGGAAGGTGGAGGGAAATGCTGTTATAAATTGTCCATGCTTGTCAGTTTTTCCATTCACCTCCCTGAACTTAGAATTGAACTGAAGATCAATCAGCTCTATTTGAAGCGCAGTATACTTAATACTGAATAGTGTGCCCGATCCCAAGAGTACTTTGCACGTTGGGAAATGGCAGAGATTTCTCTGAATACAAGTTTTGAGCAGAATGCCCTGGCATTGTCATAGGCAACACTGACAAGCTACCCCTGGTCTTGTAACTTCTTGTTAAGTAGGTACATTCAGCTCCTGTGTAATGTCTGAAAGAAAACCCAAGCCCATGAGCCATTTGGGATCACTTAGTACAAGAACAAGCACCCCATCCTTCTCCATGAAGGCTTTAAAAGCTAAAACTTATTCAAACAGAAGGAAGGAGCAGGCACTATTTATGATTTATTGATGCGAAGGAAGATTCTTTTACAGAGAGAATGAATTTTTATTTTTTTTCGTAGAAAAGGCCTTTTTGACTAACCCTATTTTGAAAGTAACCAAGTTGACAGGCTCAGAATTTCCCTCACTAATCACTCGTACACACTAGCGGCAATTTTAATAGGGATTCTTTGATACTGTGTCAGATTACTACGATTTACACAATTATGGTTGAGCATTACCGATTACCCACTAATTGAATTTTTAAACTATTCTTAAACCCACACTTCTGTCATGTTTGTCTCATAAAATGCTATGAAATAAAAACTTTTAGTCCGATTTTAAAACGGTTTTTATCATTATAATCAACGTCCAAATCTATACAAACATAATAAAATCAGAATTAGACTATTCTGTGAGATTCTACTGAAACCTTCGGGGAGGGTCACATTATAGATATGAGAATGGGGAAAACGTGCGGGCCGCATTAACACTAAACTTTGCTGTTGTGTAGCGGGCCCTGTGTCCACTACTGTCCTTTACAAACCCTTAAGAAATTCACCTCCCATGGATATATCAAATTACTGCACCTGTGTCAGAAACATTTCACTAGAACAGTGGTTCTTAACCAATGGTAAAAGTACCTCCCCAGCCCTGAGGTGTGCAAGACCAGGAAATTGTATTTGCTGCCATTGCTAGTTGTTGATAGCTTTTTTAACAAAAAAAACCCAAGTTTTTATGCATTTTGATTAGTAGCAGTAAATGTTTTTCTTGTGAATTTTGTTTATGCATTGCCTGTGTTGGTAATTGTTTCCTTGTTTATAAAAAAATTAATTAAAGTAAAGAAATAAAACTAAGATAACTAAATTATTTTTATATTTTTAATTTTATTACAATATAATTTATACTTATACGGTTCGGGGGTGTTCAAAATGGAGTGGGCCTGCAGCGCTGCAAAAAGGTTAAGAATCCCAATCCCAGCCCTAGAGCATTTGCTGAGGTCATCCCCCCCCCCCCTTTTTTTCCCACCGCACGTTCCATCCCACTTCACATGGTAGTCCTAATTCTACAAGTCTCCACATTTAGACATAAATTCTCAAGACTGTCATTGTAACTTAATTTATACTTATACGATTCGGGGGTGTTCAAAATGGAGTGGGCCTGCAGCGCTGCAAAAAGGTTAAGAATCCCAATCCCAGCCCTAGAGCATTTGCTGAGGTCATCCCCCCCCCCCTTTTTTTCCCACCGCACGTTCCATCCCACTTCACATGGTAGTCCTAATTCTACAAGTCTCCACATTTAGACATAAATTCTCAAGACTGTCATTGTAACTAAACCCTGGTTATCCTCCACCTTCATGGCGACCTGTAACTTGATCAGAGGCCATTTTTATTATTTATAGGACCTCCATACCTGTCCCGATTCTCTCACTCTCAGTGATCGATTCTCTCAGTGATCGTAGTTTAAAAATAAAATAAATACAATTGTTGTATAAAAGAATAATGTTAAAAATGTCTGTAATTTAGGGTTATGTAGTGCAATTCTTTACTACAATATTCCTCTTCCAAGTGATGTCAAATTACTGCCTCCTCACACTTGGTCACAAAAATCTGACGACCCCCCCCCCCCCCCCCCCCCCCCCCCCCCCCCCGACGCGTGACGACATTTATGGATAGCCTCTTACCATTTTATTATAAATAAATACAGTAGCTCAGAATCCTAACCCAATATATTAACATTTATTTTACTTCTTACTAGATACTGAGAGAGTTTACACAGAATGTTTAGAAGAAATATGTGGAGAATTTGATTACAAGTATACTTGGGAATTAAAATCAAAGCAAATGGGAATGAAAGAGCAAGATTCAGCCAAACTTTGTATAGGTTTGTTTAAAATTTAGATTAGTTAATAATAATACTGCACATAATAATTTACTAGACATATTTTTTTCAGGTTTGCCTTTAATTATATTTCATAAAATTTAATTTTAGCCATAAATTTCATTTGAATAAATATTTTCAATAATTAGCCCTTTTTATTTATTCATTGTTACTTATTCCTGGTGAGGTGTTGTTTGTTTGTTATTGTTGAATTGAATATTTATATAGCGCTTGTATCCACGCAACTTTAGCATGCTCACAGCGCTCTAATGTTCTTAAATCTATTTAAATAAAAAAGTCTTTAATGTTTCTTAAATGATTTTTTATCATTTTCAAACTCCCTCAAAGGTTGAGGCAAACTGTTTCATAATTTTTGCGCTATTGCTTCAAAGAGCGCACTCCATATGACATTTTTCTGTGTCCATTCACACTGGGAACTCTCAGTAAGGACTGTGTTGAAGACCGCAGGTTCTTTAAGGATACATGTTTATAAATAAATCAGTTCTTTAAGATATTCCAGTGCAGAGCCTTCTATGCAGCCAGGGACAGAATTTTGTAGTCGATGCGCTCACTTACACTAAGAACTGGGGTGATGTGGTCAGATTTTTTTATCCGCGATACAATGCATGCTACAGTATTCTGTACCTTCTGGAGTCTCTGAATTTGGTTCTGAGGTAAACCCCACAAACAACTGTTACAGTAATCTAATCTTGACTGGATTAGAGTTACTGCTACGGCACTGGCTGTTCTCTTATGAGTTGAGGACGCAGCTGACCCAAGGCGCGCAGATGACAGCAGCATGCTCTGACCACAGAACTGATATGGGGAATCATTCTAAGTTTACTATCAATATAAAAGCCAAGGTCTTTGACAGTGGAGGACAACGGTATCTCAGAATCACCAACTTTTATTGATCCGATGGCAACCTTCCGAAGATTGGCGTCCGAACCACAAATAATTGCCTCAGTCTTATCGTCATTTAATTTTAGTCTCTTTGATGACATCCATTCTTTCACAAGACAGCAGTCCTCGACAGCCTAAACAGCATCAGCACACTCCAAAAGATCATGGTTGAAACATTTGTACAGTTCTGTGTCATCCGCAAACAATTTGCGGGAAATACCATGACTTTCAATAATTCTGCCGAGGTGGCTAGTGTACATGGCGAACAGAATAGGTCCTAAAACTGAGCCCTGTGGCACGTAATGGAAGTGTCCATGGAAGATGCTTGCTTCACTACAATACGCTGAGTCCTGTCACTGTCAGTCAGATAAGAAGAAAACCAGCGAAGTG